CAGAACTGCACACAGTATTCCCGATGATGTCTCACCACTGTCTTGTAAATGGTAATAACACTTCCCTAGCTCTACTGGAAATACCTCATCCGATGCATCCTAGGACTGAATTAACCTTTCTCATGACTGGCTATGTGCCACATTGGTGGCACATAGCCATTCTGTGGTTGACCAATACACCCAGGTCTTTCTCCTCCTCTGTCATTTCCAACTGATAAGGCCTGAGCTTATAGCAAAAATTCTTGTCAGTCCCTCAGTACATGACTTTCAGCTATGAAATTTCACCCATTTTACTACTCCAGATTTCAAGGTTGTTCAGATCTTTTTGTATGATATTGCAGTGGTCATCCATATTGGCAATACCTCCTAATTTTGTGTCATCTGCAAATTTTATTAGCACACATTTTATTAGGTTTATTAGACACCATCCCTGCCCATCCTGGCTAATAGCCATTGATGGACCCATCCCCCATGAATTTATCTAATTCTTTTTTGAACCCTGTTATAGTCTTGGCCTTCACAATATCCTCTGGCAAAGAATTCCACAGGTTAACTGTGCGTTGGGTGAAGAAATATTTCCTTTTGTTTGTTTCAAACCTGCTGCCTATTAATTTCATTTGGTGACCCCCTAATTCTTGTGTTACGAGAAGGAGTAAATAACACTTCCTTATTTACTTTCTCCACACCAGTCATGATTATATAGACCTCAATCATATCCCCCTCAGTCGTCTCTTTTCCAAGCTGAACAGCCCCAGTCTTATTAATCTCTCCTCATACTGAAGTTGTTCTATACCCCTAATCATTTTTATTGCCCTTTTCTGAACCTTTTCCAAGTCCAATATATCTTTTTTTGAGATGGGGCAACCACATCTGCACGCAGTATTTAAGATGTGGGCGTACCATGGATTTATACAGAGGCAACATGATATTTTCTGCCTTATTATTTATCCCTTTCTTAATGATTCCCAACATTCTGTTCACTTTTTTGACTGCCGCTATACACTGAGTGGATATTTTCAGAGAACTATCCACAATGACTCCAAGATCTCGTTCTTGAGTAGTAACAGCTATTTTATACCCCATCATTTTATATGTATAGTTGTGATTATGTTTTCCAATATGCATTACTTTGCATTTATCAACATTAAATTTCATCTTCCACTTTGTTGCCCAGTCACTCAGTTTTGTGAGGTCTCTATCCATATCAAATTAGATTTTGGGGATGTGTAGCAGACCCCAAACACTATCCCAGTTTCTTCCCCAAAGTGATTTTGACCTAAACAAATTCCCTGGTATCCATTCCATCACTTCTAATTTCTTTATAGCCTGTCTCATCATTAATATACAAAGCTACTTCACCACTTTCACGTTTATTTCTAGCTTTCCTGAACAGCACATTCCCTTCAATAGCTGTGCTCCCTCGATGACGACTGTTCCACCACGTTTCTGTTATCCCTATATATCTGGTTTCATTTCCTGCACCAGTAGTTCTAGTTTCTCCCTTTTGTTACCCAGGCTCCTTGCACTGGTGTACAGGCATCTTAGTTGTTTCTGCTTGGCCTTACCTAGATTCCTCATCAGATTAGGTACAGCCATTTTACTGCCAGTATGACCTTCCTGACTGTTACTGTCAGTGGCATTGCCTCTATCTTTCCTCTGGTTGTCCATTCTCCTCCCCTCTCTTCCTTTCTCTGTTGCTGTATCCTCTTTACTTGATTTTCCTCCTGCTCAATATTAGAATCAGGCATGGAGATTATATGAGCATCTCCCCCAATTCCTAGTTTAAAGATCATGTAATCAGATGTGCCAGCTTCAATCCCAGAAGTCTATTATCCTCCCTACTTAGGTGGTGTCCGTCCCATGAGAACAGTCCTCTGTCCGTGAATGCCTCCCAGTGGTCAAACATTCCAAACACTTCCTTAGAGCACCATTGCTTGAGCCAGCTATTGATCTTCATAATCTTGTCTTACCTTTGCACGCCTCCTGTAGGGACAGATAGAATCCCACTGAAGGTCACTTGAGCTTCCATTTCTTTAAGTGTCTTCCCCAGCTTGGCATAATCTCCTTTGATGTGTCCCTGTGAGAATCTGGGGGTACTATTTATTCCCATGTGAAGGACAATCAGTGGATTCTTTGCCACTCCCATTAGGACCCTCTTCAGCCTCAAATCTGCATCCTGTATCTTAGCACCTGTCAGACAGCACACCCTTCTGTTTTCTGAATCGGCTCTGGTGACAGGCCTGTCATTCTTCTTAGTAGGGAATTCCCCAGTCAGATAACCTGCCTCTTTCTGATATTGGTGCGATTCTCTGGCCTTCCTCTTCTGTTCTTTCTGGTTGCAAGTCGTCTTGCCTTCTGTTCTCACTTGCAATATTCTGAAAGTCATCTTCTATCCTCTTGGGGCTCCAAACGCTGGCTATCTCTAACTGCTCTTCTCTTCTTCCTTGCTCTTCCATCTTCCGTTACTGCCTGCCTCTCCCCTTCATTTTCCAACTCAGTGAACCTGCTCCTCAGCTCTGTTTCTCCTTCACTAGACAGTCTGTTCCTCTATCTTGTTCTCATAGTCACAGTCTTCCATGGGACACTTTCTTCATCCAGATGTCTACCCTCACAGTACTCTTGTCAAGCATGTATGAGTAAGTCTTTAGTTTTCCTTCTCCCTCTTCTCAGCCTCCCCTCCATCATCTGCTTAAATCCCCTTCTAAACTGAACCATAGTTTCTAGCTGCATCTCCAAACCTCAGACCTTCTCGTCCATCATAGAATCATAGAAGATTAGGGTTAGAAAAGACCTCAGGAGGTATCTAGTCCAATCTCCTGCTCAAAGCAGGACCAACACCAACTAAATCATCCCAGCCAGGGCTTTGTTAAGCCGGGCCTTAAAAACCTCCAAGGAAGGAGATTCCACCACCTCCCTAGGTAACCCATTCCAGTGCTTCACCACCCTCCTAGTGAAATAGTGTTTCCTAATATCCAACCTAGACCTCCCCCACTGCAACTTGAGACCATTGCTCCTTGTTCTGTCATCTGCCAGCACTGAGAACAGCCAAGATCCATACTCTTTGGAACCCTCTTCAGGTAGTTGAAGACTGCTATCAAATCCCCCCTCACCCTTCTCTTCTGCAGACTAAATAGCCCCAGTTCCCTCAGCCTCTCCTTGTAAGTCATGTGCCCCAGCCCCCTGATAATTTTCATTGCCCTCTGCTAGACTCTGTCCAATTTGTCTACATCCCTTCTGTAGTGGGGGGCCCAAAACTGAATGCAATACTACAGATGTGGGCTCTCCAATGCTGAATAGAGGGAATAATCACTTCCCTCGATCTGCTGGCAATGCTCCTACTAATACAGTCCAATATGCCATTGGCCTTCTTGGCAACGAGGGCACACTGCTGACTCCTATCCAGCTTCTCATCCATTGTAATCCCCAGGTACTTTTCTGCAGAACTGCTGCTTAGCCAGTTGGTCCCCAGCCTGTAGCGGTGCATGGGATTCTTCCGTCCTAAGTGCAAGACTCTGCACTTGTCCTTGTTGAACCTCATCAGATTTCTTTTGGCCCAGTCCTCTAATTTGTCTAGGTCCCTCTGTATCCTATCCCTACCCTCCCGTGTATCTACCTCTCCCCCCAGCTTAGTGTCATCTGAGAACTTGCTGAGGGTGCAGTCCATCCCATCATCCAGATCATTAATGAAGATATTGAACAAAACTGGCCCCAGGACCGACCCTTGGGGCACTCCACTTGATACCGGCGGCCAACTAGACATCGAGCCGTTGATCACTGCCCATTGAGCCTGACAATCTATCCAGCTTTCTATCCACCTTATAGTCTATTCATCCAATCTATGCTTTTTTAACTTGCTGGCAAGAATACTGTATCAAAAGCTTTGCAAAAGTCAAGATATATCACATCCAGCACTCTCCCCATATCCACAGAGCCAGTTATCTCATAATAGAAAGCAATCAGATCCAGCAGGTTGCACTTCATGCAAGTGAAGCACCTTCCAGGTACCTCTGCAGAATAATGTACATCCTGCCGCTTCCACATTCAGTCGCCTCTTCCATTTTTCAGGTCCCTGTAGCTGCCATAGCCTTCCCTCCTAAACTCTTGTCAAGACCCCGCCCCCCCCCCCACCCCCAAACACACACCCCCCCCCCCCCCCCCCCCCCCCCCAATCCCAAACACACACACACCCCTCCCCCAACTTCCCCTTACAAACTTCCATGCAAACTCTCCTGTTTTCAGCTGTTTGCTGTCTCCTGTGCTGCTGACTGGCCAGCCGGCTGCCTTTGTAGGTTGGCTGCCTAAGGAAGCCCCACCACCAATCAAGGTTCAGCTGTGAGCAAAGTCTCTGCTTCTCTTCCAACATACTGCCCCATCAGATTCTGAAACTGAAAACAAACCAGGAAGCAACAAACACTCTTTCAAGAATTCATTCACCAGCCCTAAGGAATAGGCGCTCAAGTCCTTTATCCTCCAACAGATCTTCACTCCGACCCCCACCCCTGTTTTCAGCTCTGTTTGCTGGCTTTCATGCTGCTGTGCTGCCTAGGGAAGTTGTTTCCCCCCAGTCGAGGTTCAGCTGTAATCAATAGAGGGCTCTTCCAGCCAGCGGACAAAGGTGTAACACGGTCCAATGGCTGGCAGCTGAAATTAGACAAATTCAAACTGGGAATAAGGCATGAATTTGTAACAGTGAGAGTGATCAACCATCGGAACAACTTACTAGGCTCATGGTGGAGTCTCCACCACTGGAAATTTCTAAATCAAAATTGGATGTTTTTCTAAAAGATCTGCTGTAGGAATTATGTTCGGGAAACATGAGCATAAATAAATGGTCAGGCTAAATGTTCACAGTGGTCCCTTCTGGCCTTAGAATCTATGAACCTATGAGCCCGGCCATTGTGCACTTGTGCATTGTGCATCCACACTGTGGACGGGAGGAGACTATCGGCTCATCCCAACCCCACCTCCTGTCTCTAACACTGTGCTCTCACCCTGTGCAGATGTGGAAGGCAGCTGTAGGACACAATGTGGCCGTGAAGGAGGAGTCCCAAGGAGATGACTGGGACACCGATCCTGATTTTGTGGTGAGTTTCACTCATGTTGCTGGACTGTGTCAATCATGGGGACTCGGAGCTAAGAGTTGGGACTTGAGCCCTGAATAGGTCTCATGAGAGAGAGGGGGATGGAGAGCTCATTCTGCTCCTTGGGGATGTTTGTTGCTGGATCTACCAGCCTGGTCTAGTGGCTGGGGCACCTGGCTGAGAACTGGCTGACCCTAGGTGTTCTTCCCAGTTCTGTCATGACTTGCTGTGCATCCTTGGGCGAGTCACTTCCTCTCAGTGCCTCTGATTCCCTTCCCAGCATTTTTGTTTCATGTCTCTTTAGACTGTAATTCAACTCAAGTCAAGTAACTTGAGAGAGTGGTGTGTCTCCTCTATAATATTCTGTGTCCCAAAATGGCAACTGCCCCTGCAGAGAGTGGGTTTCTAGACATGCAGAGGAGCATTCACACTCTCACTGGTCTCCATCAATGTGTTGTTTGAGTCTCTACAAAAAACAAAATCATAGTGATCCATCTCACCTAGGACATTGGCATGCAGGAATCTCATGGCTTTAATTTCTTTGTATTTGTACATTAGCATGTGTCTGTCACTGGTGCAAAACATAGGGCAAGAGTAAAAATGACAAGCAGCTGATTTTTCAATCGTGGCTGCAAGTAAACAGCAGTGTGGGAGGGTGTTCCACTTTGCGAACTGCAGATACCAGTCCTCTCCCCTCTCCCACTGTGGCACAAGAAGAGACACTGCATCACCCTCAGCTTTCTGCTGCAGTTGCTCACAATACATCCAGATGTAAGTAGGCTGCATGTGGGTTGGTATCACAAATAACCATAGCTGTGCAGTCAGGTAACATGGCTGGGCATCCTGTGACTCTGTTGGTTGCTCACCCTGTGGCACAGTGACTCTGCTGGTGCAGTACCCCATTGGATCCCACCAACTTCATGGGCAGACGTCATAGTACAGATTCCTGCCCAAACAACCTCTCTGGTGACAGACCCCTGGAGCTGGAGGCCATATGTGCTGCAGGCCTGGGGCTAGGGCAGTATCAGAGCTAGAGCTGGTCAGGAACCAGAATTTTCAGCTCATGGGAATATCGATGTTAAAAGAAAATGGTTGCCAATAAGAATGGAAAGCCAAAATTGTGAAATTTCCTGAGAAATGAAACTTTAGGGAAAAAAGAATTTGGGTTGGGGGGGCTCAATCAAAATATTTTGTTTCTATTTAGATGTTGTTATTATATTTTTATTTTATAGTAAAACAAAACAATCACACGTTATTATATTTAATATTTATATTGTATATTATTTTATATGATAATTTATAATATAAAATTCCTAAACAGAAAATTACAATATTCCATTCCGATAAGGTCCAAACGGAACATTTTGACTTTATTGAAACATTTTGTTTTGATTTTTATGCAAAATGAAATTTAATTAGAATCAACACATTCCATCAGAATGTGTCAATTCAACTAATCAGCATTTTCTCATGGGAAAAAGTTCAGCAGGAAACTTTTGATCACATGTAATCCATGCGCTCATCTGCCTGGGGAAGCCACGTGTCTCCTCAGGGGGGAATTTCTAAGGGGGGTTTCTGAATGCAGACAGGCCTGCAGTCATACTGAAATATTCTGAAAAGCACAAGGTGCCACTGAGCTGAAAGAAATTTTCTTGGAGACACAGCTGCTTCCTTTAGCTGGAGCCTGCTCAGCTGTAGGGTAATATCATGCCGGGATCTCAGTCCATTGATGTGTATGGGTGTGGTAAGGTGACCCAATGTGCCAGGCTCAAAGCGTGTCAATAGGTGCACGTGCAGACACGGGCGGGTCTTGGGCCATCCATGGGTGCGTGC